CTCCATCAGTTTTCTTAAAAGACAGTGAAGTTTTTGAAAGGATGCCCGCAATCGTCTTCAAAAAGGATGGCCCTAGTTAAATCAGTCGAGACGGGGCTGCACCAGACTTGTGCTGAAATGGTAGGACACTTTCACTGTGATGGATCGATGATGCGCAAACATTCCTATGAATTTGATTCCGCAAGAATTCTGATAAATGTGCTCACCTGCCTCTCACGCGCGCTCAAAAAGGGTGCGTTTTTGACCCTATGTTGCAAAAAAGTCTCCGTAAAAAACTGCCCACTTGAGCTGATAAGTTCTAATTTTTCTGTCGTGCAATGCAGACCCTACTCTAACTAAGCTGTATACTTACTTTGTCCAGGCCTTACTTTTTAGCAAGTAAGAGGGATGATTTGTCAGATGATGTCAAAACCGACCTGCCTCTCCTTTTTAACTCAAAAAATTCCGAGCTTGGATCGTGCAAGGTTTCCACTCAAACTGTTAGATGAGGGGATCCTAGTAAGTCATTTTATGATTAAACTAATTCGCTCCCCGGGTTTTGAACTGAAATATTGCTGGTCCAAAACTCTTGGTGAAAAAACGACATTAAGATATCCGGTACCTAATAGTATAGATGCCTCCCACCAAAGATTATGTATAGCGTATTTAGCGATCATGCTCAAATGACCAAGTTTGTTTCATTTCAGAATCAGGAATATCGAGGAAATGAGGAGGCTGTTCATATTGTTTCTTCTCGTGTTATCTTCCTCTCAGAAACAAAAAACTAGGGTAACATATTTTGAGTTTAACGATCTGCCTTATTACAATACTTGGTTGCCATCAAGAAGACTACTTCAACGGTGGTCAAAGAATCAGATCGTTTCTGAAGTGTGAAGGCACGATAAATGCTTTTCCCAGTCAAGATGAAGGATTTGTCGGCATGCTCTGGAACCATGTGCTCTTCAATTCAGAAAACAATACAAGCTTAAAGCTACAAAAATTTTCACAAGGAAATTCGAAATTGCTTCCTTTTCGAAGGTATAGACTGCCTTGGCAGGAGGGTTCTGACAGTAAAATTTCTTCTTTTGACAACTCTTACGTCAACTCCTACCCTTAACTTCTATATGCATGTTCAGTAAATGCACGCTTTCTACCGACATGCCTGGATGATTTGAGCTTTCTATAGAGAAACCAACAATCAAGAGCCAACCCATAACATTGACTTTGTTGACCTTCAGCCACAGTTGAGCAGATCGGCCACAGTAAACGGTGACGTTGACGTGTATGAATATCCACCGGCGACCCAAGTACGGAAACGAATGACCAGCAAGAACATCCAATAGACATCAGAGTCCGCTCTATACCATATAGGAGCCAAAAGGAGTAGAGCACTACTGAGTGATGCAGTCCAGATTGTCCAACCAAAGAGCAGTCTCAAGTGTGGATCTTTTCAGGGATCCTTCCTTCAGGTGCGAGATCCATCCGGAACGTCACTAAAGACTGATTACTTTACTACTATCTATTACTTGGGATTAAGTTACATAAACAATGGAAACGCGGACGCTGAGAGTAGTGCGTCAGCGGTGAGAAAAATAGAGAAACCCGTCTTAAACACACCGAATGGGACCCTCCAACTTCCCCGTTGACCTACAATAATGGACGAGCCTAAACGTAATTGTAAGGGGTCGTTTGCATGCGTTAAACGATAGCCACCATCCTGCTAACAAACATCATGCTTCGACTATAATTGGTTTCCACAGAAAAGCTGAAGAATGCCGGCGTTCGAGGGAATACCCTTTAAATCCAACAATGCTGGGAAACGCTAGCGGGAGACCACAGCCATAGGCGGAGCACAGCCCGCTGGAGTAGAGTGCCTTCGGCCGCAAGGCCACGTATCGCTTCCGTCGGTCCCCGACTACTTCTTTCACTTCAATGTCGCACGCACATTTTGCAGTAATCCCTCGCTTTCAACTTGTTCAAAAACCATTACAAATTCCACGACTCGGCCACCAAAAATTCACTTCGAAAAGTCCTGTCGTCCATTGTACTGGTGTTTTGAGGAGACAAACCGGACGAGTGCTTTTCAAGCCGACATGTTGGCTTCCAAAAAATTAAGTTGACCCGAAATTATCTGCCGGTTGTTTTGGCTTGTGGCTTTTCTGATTCAACTGACCATGAGTGTTTTCGATGGTTTTGACATCATCAGAGCTCACGATCTTCCGACCAATTTTCTGTATAACACCCATACACATGATTTGTGGAACTCACACATTAGCAAAAAACACAGTTTTTTCAGAATAAATCCCTTGGTCTGGCACCAAACAATGTGACCAGTTGCGTTCTTTCGAGTGACGTCAACACAAATATAGTCAACGAAATCAAAAAAATAATTAGTCACACCAAACAGCGCATAAGTGGGTCATGTTTCCCCGGTAAGCGATCTAGATGAGAAATGATATTCTAGGGCAAGGGACATAACGAGAAGATCGCAGCAAGGTTCCAGGGTAAGTTAGTTCAACTTGAGCCCTTCATGGAAAAGAGCCGGGTAACACTTGCTAGGTAAATATAACGAAATTTTCGGAGAATTTCCAATTTTTTTGATAGCACTTCCGCTCTAATATGTGCTATGGTTTTATGTGGGCTCGGAGCCATCCACAATTGAATGTATACTCGATATCGGTGAGTTGGGGTGGGCGTGTCACCGGAAGTGACGTGCACTTGATAGAACTATGTGGATAAGCTGCTTCCAACATACATCGCTGGCTATCAGCAAAGCATGCTGGCAACAGCTTATCCACGCACTTCTATCAAGTGCACGTCACTTCCGGTGACACACCCACCCCAACTTTCGGATATCGACTGTACCGCAACTTCCTCCGAGCTTCGTCGATTGTTGCAAAGGAATCTGTCAAATATCGCATGTTAATAATACCAGTATGTTCAGAAACCACGAAGCAGTTACCCTTAATTAATAAGCAAACCTTTGTCAGTTTTGTGCTAATTTGGTCCGACCAAAACACCTAGTTAATCCTTGTCAAGATCCGATATCCGCCCGTCACTCTATTCCTTTGAAAGCTCACCCATTCAACAGAATTCACAACGTGGACCGGATATTACCTTCGTCTGTTTTTGTCTGACCTGTGAACCACCTGTCCCTAAACCAACCTGCTCAGCCTGTGAACCTTTGCTTGTGAACCTGCCTGCTGCCCTGATGTGTCACAGTAAAGTGGCAGAGTGACCCCCAACTTGTGTACCATCATTCAAAACGTATTGAGGTGTGTAGAGGTTCTTTTTTTCAGGAAGATCTATTAGCCGAATGCATCCACGTATGTGCTGTGACTTACCCACCCTTCAGAATGTATGAACAATACAGAGTCTGTACAGAAGAATGTTGGGTGAAATACGGCAATCCGGTATGAAGCAGAGCAGTCACCAGGTTGACCAACACCTCTATGAGACTTTTGAAGAGCTGTAATGTTCGTTTTTGAATGAATAAAAATTTTTATGACTATCAAAATGGAATGTTCACATCATACTCGAATGTTTTGCTTCGCGAATTTTGTACTTTATATACAGAGGCGAAAATGAAGTAAAAGCATCAAACAACTGCAAGTGTCGACCCGTATCCGCTAGCTCAAATTTTGTTACATGCTATTGTAACTATTGCTAAGATTGAAAACCTCATTAACCTGTTCCGTTGACATCGCTAGATAGATTCGTAGAAATACAATTATTCAAGTGAAGACGAGAAGTCGCAATGACATCAACAGAATTGGAATGGTGAACATACGTAGGCGAACTATAAACCGACATAGGATGAGAGGCTAAGCGGCTCTCCCGTCTCCGCATTCCTTCCTGAATTGAAAGGGATTCCATGAGGAAAAACCCTTCCCCGAAACTCTGCGGAGACAAACAGACGGAGACAAAAATTTCAAAAGGTCGCTTCACAGCTACCTTTTGAAATTTTGAGCAAGGCAACACTAATTTGATAAACTATTTTTACTAGGAGTAAATTTACCTAGTCTGTAAAAAGCAACAGGAAGACAGTTAAAATCGAGGTGATCTATTATAATATTATGTATTGACGACACTCTTGAAATCGTACTGTATTTTATACAGGGATCTAGTTAAATGAAGCTCAGGAACACCACTAACTATAATAAACCTTTTCCTATCCATATTCATAGACACAGATTTCTTCACAGAAAAATCGCAATTAGAAGATGCTTCACACGAGTTTTCTTTTTGCTTATAGAAACGCAATTATTCTCTTAGTTCTTTGTACTCCCTGTCCAATTTCTTGTAAGATTCTAGTATTTTACGAGGAAGGACATTCTCATGAATTAGTGCGCTAAGCTCACCAGATATCGATAACAGCAATTGCTTGGCTCAGTCAGGAGTTTTTCTCGTCTCGTTGATATGCTTGATTATGTCCACAAGCTCTGGTGATGTGAGCTGCCCATCCTCTCAACACGTTGACGTCACCTTTTGTTTCGGTTTTTTGGCCGCGTGGACAAACGCAATTTTGTGAGCGCAGCCGCCTTACCTCACCTCTATATGTTTCGAGTTGGTAAGTATGTAAAAAGGGTAGCAGAAAACCCTCCCAAGATCCTATCCGTGACTTCAACGGGAGTGGCAACAGCTTCGGCTGGCTAACGCAGAGGGTGTCTCTCGAGGTGGAAGAAGTAGAACTTCCACTCAAGAGATTGCCTTGAATTCTGCACTACTATGATCAATGGGTTTTTCAATTATCCCGATCAATGCTAGGTTACCCACCGTAATGGGTCATGCTAGGACGTCCACCGTAATGGACACACATGCTAGGAAGTCCTCCGTAAAGGACAATTACAAGACCGTCAGGATTGCCACGCTCAACATCGGATGGACAGGCGCTAAGGCTGAAAGGATCGGTGGCTAAATATATACTACACGGTCAACAATCCAAGCCCTGCGGTGTCGCCATTGCTGGAACACACTGTCAAGGATGTGCAGAGAATTTCTGATCGCATCATGTACATTACCATGATCTTCGGCAGAATAGCGACACATATCATCTGCGCATACGCCCCATAGGTAAATTTGCCCAAAGAAATATTCTGGGAAACAACTCGCTGACGTGACGTCCGCACGCCAATCAATGAAATTTGTACATCATGGGAAGACCTCAATGGTCACACCGGCACAAGCAATGACCATAGAGGATACGCAAGGACGATTCGCTTATGGCACGAAAAATGAATGTGGTTCTCTTATTTTGAAACAAAATAAAATCCCTCGATCTCATCATTACCGACTTCTTTTTTTCAAAAGAGAGAATCCCATCTGGTAACATACAGTGGAGATTTCAAAGCACAGATGGACTACATTTTCCAAAGTGATCCCATCGATAACTGTCAACAGTCAGCACCGTCCTCGTCGTCGCCACCATCAAGATGCTTAGGAACTCGTCCTCCTTCAAACAACCGAGGATCAGATGGTGGTTCCTCAGACGGAACAAAATTGCCGATCTGGGAACTACCTAACGACAAAGATCTGCTAAGCCAACGCCGATGACCTTCGAAAAGGCTGGAAACAGCTCACTCGACAAATCAGAGATATTGCGCGGACAATCGGCTACAAAAGGAGAATTCAAGAGTGCACCGGATCGACCAGCATGGTTTTGGAACAATGACGTAGCAACAGCGATTCAGTCCAAGAAGAATGCGTACAAAGTCTGGCATCTTAACCCTACGACCGAGACCAGGGAAAGATACTGTGTAGCTAAACGAGAAACCAAGAAAACCATCGCAAAAGCTATCCAAGACAAGACGGATATAATGATCGCGAAGCTGAACACTAAGGAAGGTGAAAAACTCATCTACCGCCTTGCTAAAGGACGCTCAAGAGCAACACAGGACTTCGTAAACACAACAACCTTCATCAAGGACAAAAATGGAGTACTCTTGCACGAATTCAGCAAAATCAAACAACGTTGGCAAGAACACTTCCAAGAAATCTGCAACGTCGAGTTCCCATCCACCACTCCCGAAAGAGCCGCAAACTCATGGACCTTATACCGTGCATCACCGAGCAAGAATCGATTGAGCTATGAAGAAGGATGGGAAAGCCACCGGCCCTGATGACATTCCAGTAAAAGTCTGGAACCAACGTGCCGTTACCTGACTCTTCAACAAGTGTATTGAGAAGGGTGCGATCCCGACAGATTGGTCAAAAAGCGTCACTGTGCCCATCTACAAGAAGAAAGGTGACATCGCCAGCTGCTCCAACTATCGCCCAATTCGCCTGATGTGCCACACCCTGAAAATTTTCGAACGAGTTTGGACGCCAGGCTCAGAGAGATAGTTAACATCAGTCGGATGCAATGTGGTTTTCGACCAGAGCTCGGAACCACCGACGCCATTCACGTGGCTCGACGCATGATGGAAAAAGCGAAGGAATGGAATAGACCACTGCACATGGCTTTTTTGGATTTGGAGAAAGCCTTCGACCGAATACCCCGTCAACTCATATGGGAGGCGCTCCGATACCAACAAATACCAGAAGCACTCGTTAAAGCTGTGCAGCTAACCTACCTTAATTCCTCAACTGCCATCCGAACACCTGTAGGTGACCCCACAGTTCCCAGTCACAGTTGGAGTTCATCAAGGGTCGGCCCTCTCACCATTACTCTTCATTCTATGTATGGTTTACGCGTCGAGAATCCCCGATGACGCTTGGGTACGCTGATGATATACTGCTAATGGATCGGTCGAAAATGAAATTAGAGAGACGTGTCAATCAGTGGATGAAACAGCTAAAGGACCATGGACTCAGGCTCAACATCAACAAAACAGAATACATGTGCACAACGGCCACAACGTCTTCGATCACAGTAGACGGAGCATCCCTACCCAAGACCACCCAAGTTTCCGTATCTAGGGTCCACACTGGCCGCGGACGCCGACAGTAAAGCCGACACAATTGCTAGAATAAACGCTGCATGGAACAAATGGAGGACTGTCACTGGCGTTCTCTGTGACAGGAAAATGCCGATCCGCCTGAAGTCTAAAATTTACACCTCAGTCGTGAGACCAGTCGCCATCTATGGAGCGGAAACGAAGCAGATGACGGCAGACGAAACGAGAGCAGGTATCTAGAGAAAGATGTTACGATGGAGCCTGGGACACACGCGATTCGACCACATTCGGAACGAAGACATTCGAGACAAGATCAAGGTCCAACCGATCGTCAATTCCCTTGCCTCCTCTCGCCTACGCTGGTATGGTCACATTTTGCGAAGGCCTCCAGACACCGTGTCCAGATCAGCCGATAGTATTCACCTTCACTGGTACACGCCCGAGAGGCAGACCCAAATTACGATGGATGGACAACGTGAAGATCGACATGAATGCTGCTGACCTGGATGCATGGAATCGAGACGATGCATGGAATGGGGAAGCCTTGGTGGAAAAAGCGTACCCGACGAAAGTTGGACAACAACGCTAAGAAGAAGAAGTAGCAGAAAACCATTTTAGTAATGTTCAATTGTAGAGGCTAATCAGGGATAGTGATGGAATTTTGATCAGAAGTTGTAAATTTTCTGAAAAGCAAATTCACTCTTTTTCTCAGTGATGGATGTCAAAAAAGTTTCATTTTGACGTACACGATACACTTCAACACCACATAGAGCTGCGTTCACCTCTATAGCTTTTATTTACATGCACACGAAAACGAGAAAAATCGAGGACTGAATAGAGCTGCCAATTTCGTAGCGATTAGAAAACTTCTAAAGCACATATGACGAAAAGGTGAACCGTGCCTCCCACAGTTATGTCGTGGTGTGATAGATAAAATACAAAAGCGAGGAAAAGAGATGCTTTGGATGGTGCGTGGAGCCGCGTCACAATGCCCACGTAACCTGCGATGTGGGGCGCGCAACCGCGTCACGCACTTCGTCAATGTGTCAAGGTACCTTCTACGAGTAGCTGAGGTGAGGAGTGCTTTAAGTGAATAAGGTGGGCCTGCCACTCGGCGGAAGTTATATGTACTATTATACTATACTAAATCGAGGTCATACTGTCTGAAATGTCTGCCAGTGGAAACTATCCCCTCAACATAGGCCTTCACACAGGTTAAGATTAGCGTCGAGGAAGTCATCGCACGAACACGACCGTTCCTTAACCTTTTGGCGACTTTGCGGGTCGATGTGGGGATGCAGCATAAAAAACTTCACAGCGCATGTTCCAAGTTTCTAGTAATCACACCTTGCTCAGCAGGCTCCGTGTCACCTATAGACACCTTGGTCCGGCGCCAGCGCCATTTGGCGCCATGTTGGCGCCATGGCGCCACGCCCTTTTTGCCACCAATTACGCTGTAAACTTGGGAACAGGGGTAATCGGTGGTCCTGTGCATGAAAATGGCATCCATTTCTTAGCGCCGCGCCATGTGGCACGAAGATGGCGCCATGCCCTTATTTGTCACCAATTACGCTGTAAACTCGGGAACAGGGATAATCGCTAGTCCTGAGCATGAAAATAGCGTCCGTTTGTTGAAGCCGCGCCATTTGGCGCCACGGTACGGATACGGGTAGCCGACGAGCCTCAGCACGGATACGGCATCTATTTTTCGATGCTGGTGCCAAAAATTCCTTTTCCCGGGAGCTTACGTCTCCCATTTTTTATTGAACTTTGCATTGTTGTCTTACTAAACATTAAAACGCAATAGAATACATAATCTATAGGTACACTACTCTCAAAGTATTTTCATTCATGATCACTCAATTGAAACTAGCAGCCATACAACACATTGAGATGCTCATTCTGAATTCATTCATTCTGAAATCAAGAAAAAACAGGAATTTTGTGTAACCATAATATAGATAGCATAACATAGAAGATACAAATGCGTAGCAGAAAAACTAGGAACTAGAACAATGTGTGTTCATTTGGAAGCAGTCAGGGCAGACGAATCCTCTACACGAATCCTCTACAGTTGGTGCACTGTGTTCTGATCTTCTTAGCATAGTTGTTGGCATAACTCCGACCCTTTTCCTTACTAGCCTCTGGTAGCAGCACTTACACCGACGTCTATCCGTTGGCCTTCATCTCTTTGATTTCAACCAGCTTTCTTTTCCTCCCTTGGCTAGTGCTAGGTCTTTCATTGACATCAAGCCACGCCTTGACAATTGCGTATTTGAAATCGTTCAGCTGCATTTTGACATCAGCACTCAGGTTGTACAGGAACCAAGCGTTGACCAGAGCAGTTTGCGTGACTAGATGGTAGAACAGCCTCATATACCACTTTGCAGTCCTTCGTACAAATGGTGTGTACGCCGCCATCTGGTCGCTTACATCAACAAACCCTTTCATCCTATTGTAATCTTCTACCACCTGAGGCTTCATGTTGGCGCTGCGGCGTCCATCGTGCTTTGTCGAAAGCATGAAGATGTCTCTCTTGTCCTTCCACTTGAGAAGCAGTACACCGTTATTGTTCTGGAGGTAGTATGGCTCGCCTATCTCGAGTTTTCTGGTCTATAGCGCCGGAGGTATCCCCTCCGATTCTTTCTAATTGTTCCCACTAGGTTGGTCCCATTCTATTATTATATTATAACGCTTTATGCAACGTGACCGTTCAGAGAGATCGGCAACTGCCCCAAAACGCGTCACGAAGTCAACATCGTCTATTGCATTGTGATCGATAACTTTTTTTTCCAGGTTTCCTTATTTCATTTTGACGCGCTGATTGACTGAAGCATGTGGTCCTTGCTCAAAATCTTCTTTGGCGTTTAAATGGAAATCTTAGATGAATTCTCAGCAGGACAGTAGGCCCTATTTGGTGAAATTTCCAATGTTTGAGCGAAGTTTAGCCGAAATCTGAGGAGGTAGCGAAGATATCTCCTCACTGTTGTAGTGAACGCTTACTTGTGAGGAGTGTAAGGTGACATACGCATTGCATGGAGCGCTCCTTTCGTGGTGCCCGTGAGGGCAATCTCTCACGGCATCATGCTCGCACATTCAGGTTTTTTGCTTTTTTGACACGGTATGAGCAGACAGTTATCTTTCGATTCTCATACAGCGTATTAGCAACAATTGTTGGGAAAATCTTAGGCTTACCTTGCAATTTGCCCATCCCTTGCACACTCTCTAGCCATGACCAACGCGCCCCTACGCGCATGCAGCGCATAGCATACCCACCAGATAGTTGCCAACAGATCGATGGGATTTTCACCGAACAGCGCATAACATCGTGCTAAAATGTTTTGAAAGTCAAGTAAGAGAGCCTGGAACACGCCATGCACCTGAACTCTAATCGGAATGCGGAGCTATTGGTAGGTGTACAGGTTTCTTTGCATGAATTTTTCACGTCAGTAGAGAAGTGAATGCCTCGGTATTGATCCTCAGCACACAATGCCCTTTCCGTCGAAAATAGTGGGATACTGTGTGCCAGCACACATGAAACGAGAGTGTGCCTTAGTTTTCTGTATGACCTTTAGCATAATGCACAAATAATAGTGTCAATCCACATTCATTTGAAAAGTTCCTCATGATTGCTGAATTCACCAAGAGGGATGCATTGTATAGTGAATCCTTCACGCTTGAATAGAGTGAATGAAAAAAAAACAAGTTTCACTTAATGAATTCACGAATCCATAAACAAAGCAAATGGGCTCACAATTACAAAAATTCGTAACATTAATCGTATTGTTAGAGACTTTGATAACAGGGTTATCGGCCTTCATACATTTACTTGCCTTCCCTCTCGACAACGCGGTGGAGTTTTTTGTATTCCCGGTATTTAATTGCTGCACACTTCCGGTGTGAGTGTGCTCCAAAACTGCGCATTTGTTTCGCGTAATTCTTCTGTTGTACGCGGACTTCGCCTCCTAAAATTAATTTTTCCATACAATTAAGTATGGTATTATCTATAAAATAGGTAACTTCATAAACTAATGGCTTTGCTGACCTAACAAACTTATTAATGCTACACCAAACGAGCCCTATTTGATTGAAGTCCGGAGATTCTAGTGACCACTCCATTAGCTTAATATTCATCTCCCATTAACCGTGTAAGCGTATACGCACTTTTGTGTGCAGGCGCGTTGTCCCGCACCAGTACTCCGAAACCTTGAGAAAAAATGGAAAACGATGAGATGTAAAACGGCTGATACCTTATCGTTTGAATTCTACCATTTCGAACTACGGAGCTTCAGAAACGCTGACTCTCCATTAAACGTATTGTTAGCAAAGGGCACATGGCAGTGCTGGAATGTTTCGCAAAACATCTTGTATCCAGCATCTAGACCAGGAAGAATCCAGACCAGTTTAGTAACTCCTCTCATTGAAATGCCGCCCCACAAATGTAATTTCGCCGGATGTTTGGCCCGTGATCGCAATCGAGTAAAGTAGTTATTTTTCTTCACAAAACAGTGATTGATTGCACAACCAACTAAAAACGATCTATTTAGGACCATGGAACAATGGATGGTCAACGTATCTGTAGACGCACCCATTACTGTCACTTCATCCGTGAGAATGCATTGACTGAAATCTTCCTCTTTTTCAATCATCTTCATACAGAATTCAACGTTTCTATTTATTAGGATGTCGAATCAGGTGGAAGTGTCTTGTTGTTGCCTTCTGAAATCCCAGCTTGTCTCTCAACCTGCGCACCTGCGACGCACTAATTGAGATATTGTGCACTTTGAGAAGCTTCAAAATGAGTGAAACTGTAACCGAGGAGTCAGCCGAATAGCTGTCGATAATTCATCGGATTGTGGGAAGTGCCGACGAAAACTTTCTCGGTAAGGCGCCTCTTGCGAAATAAATTGCACGAATGATGTTCCTGTAGAAACTTTTGAACTCTGTAGTTGCTGATTACTGATCCACTCATTAGACTTCTTCATGTATCCTTTAGAATGGCTTCCAGCACGATCCATGGGGTGAATTATGCTACTGTGTGGGACGAGTGACATCAGTGACGAATGTGTGATATGCTGACAGGTCCCAAGTCAAGAATATTCGATGAGAAAGTCGATTTAATTGATAACAGCAGGCAGATCAGTTTCGACTCTACAACAGGACCCACTGACACGCGGAGCCTGAATCATCAAAATTTCGAAGTTTGGAAAAAGCGGTTTCTATAGCACCGCAGCTGAAATTCAGTTTATGGGCTCACCTCTGAACTAGCACTGACTCCAGAATATGAATGTGTTCAGAAAAATCGCCGATCATATTGAATTCCAGCGGCGAGAGCTAAAAGTAACTAGAATGGAAACAGTGTATGAGTAATTAACAGCAAAACGCAACTAATCAGATATGTCGGGAGTAATGTGGATTGAAAATATGAAGTTGAGCAATAGGAACGGTTTTCAATGCCGTAAAGTAGTGCGAGAAGACAAACGTCACAATCTAGTTCCAGTTATCGGAGATTATGTCATAATTCACTACCAGCTAAGGATCATGATGCCCCCTAACTGGAATAGACCCTCCTGATCTAACTGCTTACACAACGTTCATCTTATCTTTACAGCTGAAAACCTCCTGTCCCTAGTCTCCCGAATCGTGTGTTAGAGATGTGCTCTCTCACTTGAGTTGAGGAATACGAGGATCTGCTTACAAAAAGCGAATATGAGCAGCTTCGCTAACACAAACCGAAATGTGGCACATGAAAAATAGCATGACATTGACAAATAAATAGATTACGCCTTACCTCTTGCACAGGCACCCCTCGCGCCGGGATATGACTGATGCCCGCGAAAGCGGTATCAATCGATCCGCTCGCCAACTACTGCTGCGGAAATTTCAAAACACGTACCCAACTTGGAACAGTTCTGTCAGTGAGGCATCAACTCATATACGATTTGACGCGATTGAGATAAAGGAAAAGCGTCATTTTCTCATAGAAAGACGCCTAGAATACTCAGAAGCATCAGTGGAAGAAATGAATTTAAGACAAAGAAGAGAAGGCCCCGATGATTACTTTGCTTTAATCAGATATATATGTGTTTATTGAGTGATTCAGTCATGGTTCAGAAAGCGGTTGGTTTTTCACGTAATACATAACGAAAAAGCGAAATTGCTAGGCCTCGAAAGAAAACTCAGGAAATTTGCATTGTCAACTGCGACAAAGCGAATCTAACGAAACCAGACCCACCAGAACTCGAACTACGTAGCTAGAGAAGGACTGACGCCGAGACAGGTACCTGGTAGAGGTGTTTGTTATCTGCTTACACATGCGAAATAAGCCGTATAAAGTCTACGCCGACAATTAACTCTGCTTCAGGTTGTATCTGAATACTTCAATGAAACGGATCAAAAGCTACTTATCACTGGTCTGACACCTCAGTTAGCTATACGCTGGCAGACTGGCTTCAAGTCCTAGTTTTTTTGGTCTCAGTCAGGAAATTTCCCATATCCCTGCTCAGCTAACTTGAAATTCATTCCACCTTCCAACAAAGAAATAAGCTTTTTAGAACTCTGCACCACCCTTCCTCAAAATAGAATGTAGCCTCCCACCAACTGAATTAAGGCGCCCTACGAAACTGAGGCCGTGGACGGCTTAGGTAAGATCCCTATAAGCTTTGTGATGGTGCTTCATCACAATCTGGGATTACTGTGTCATAAAATAGATTCGATGCTGAACTCACGGCTCATCCTTCAGACTTCTCTTCATACAAAATGCGTAGTCTTTTCGAATTCGAACTTGCGAATCTACATCATTGGTTTCTGTGAAAACAAAACAGTAGCAACTTTCAGATGCGATCCCTGATTCTCTTCATCCTCTTCGTCCTTATGCTACTAATCGACGCCAAGCCACGTCCTTTCGACGATACTGTCCGGTCAGTTTTCATTTTGAATTCTCAAGTCTTTGAGGTGCTGAACAATGCCCTGATGGAATTCGTTCAGAGCCCGCTCAAATGAGCACAGGCGCAACTTTTGAAACAAATGATCCCTGAGCTTGGAACCATTAGATCGCCGCCATCCATCTTGAAAGGCAAAGGGCTATCGGTATTGAAGAAAGCAGCACATCTCTCATGTACCAGGTCTAAGCGCCACAAACTGATCTAAGCATGTCTAGAGAATATCTTTCCTAGCGACGAATTGGAGGTTTTATGCGTCTGAGCAGTGAACTCTGTAGGACACGTAAGGCACTGATAATAAGCTAGCATGCTATGCGTTACCCTGAAATTATTTCATTAGGTAACTGGCTTGCTTTTGGGCCACACTGCCGCCTTCGGAGGTACCACCGACTCGATGATCGAGCGCAAAAATGTCCCATCTTGAGAAACTGCGAAATTTTCTGAATATCCAGAACATTTTACGAAATCTAATGAAATAAGCGGAAATCTGGACTGCGAATAATCTCACTACGGCCTTGTTCTGTAAATTAGATTAGGATTAGCGATAAGATGAAAATGAGCTTACAAACTCAATTCTCAAAAAAGTTGTGCCAAATTTGTAAATGCTGCCCAACGTTCCTTGAGTTCCCATAACACCGCCAGAAGCATTTCTTTAGTCCTAAACATTCCTATTTTCAGGTTGATTCGAGTGAAACGTCAATGGGGATCGGAGTGGTATCGGCTATATCGACCGCGGTGGGCCAAATGGACTGCCGGCACTGGATATCGCCCTTGGTACCGTACTTGCCCTTAACGCAGGATGGACCCACCATTGCACGACAACATTCCCTTCTACGGTTAACCAAATGATGTGGTTACTTCTGCCAGCATCTATAACGACGCGTACACTCTATGAGCTGTGTCTTTAAATCACCTTCTCATTGCACTCACCTTCTGTTGACGATGTGCATCAGATCGTAGATACTCTTATGTATATAATTATGATGAATTGATTGTGTCTTCCATGAAAGATTATTCATAAATGGTTGAAATGTCAAAAAAATTCCTTTTCGCTGGGTGGTGACCACAAGGTAATCCGACAACGGATTGGTGATTGTAGAGCAGGGAAGCTGGAGTAGTATTGGTCTCCTTCCTTATCTTCGACACTTACAGCAAAAAGCAATGCAACTAGGGTTGGAATCACATTTCAACATTAACTCGCAGCCATCACATCCTTGAAAGCTGCTTTTGTTCTGTTCCTACGAGGGTGACAAGGTACTGCGCTCGTACCTTCAAAGTACAGCCGACTTTCCAAATACAGACATACTATTATAAATACAGTGCCGCCACAAATTACTGTAACAAACTGAAGTGATCCTGGAAACCTGTGCAACTAACAAAGACAAACGAAGAAAAAAAATGTACATTAAACGGTAATGAATGAAAACCCACAACACTCTTATAAACGCCACTATCCGTTTAGAATCACAAGCGAAATCTTTCTGAAAATCCGCTGACAGCATCGAATTGAAGGTAGACGGATAAAGGCAAAGGTCGGGCTCAGGCACGCTAGAGAAGTAATTCCCGTGCCTGGAGGTTGTATGTGGGTAGCTGCACACATTGCAGCAACTTCCCACCTTGAAAAACCCCGTTAAGGCCCCGGGGCGTTCGGTTTCAATCCAGGACCGCCCACCTCCGGAAGTGGTGCGTGGCTGGCATAACGTGTGAAATCAGCTAGGTTGATTGCCGTATCAACCGATAGAACGACTGACATCTCCAGAAAACTTGTTTGTACGTGCCTCTTTCCCAAGCCAGCCTCCTTCACTGCTAGTGGGAAAGAGGGTTTTGTTAACGGCCTTGTCGACGGTTTTTCTCAGTTTTTTCTCCACTGTCGTTCCACTTCGCATCTCTATACTCAGTTTCAATCGCCATAATACCCCTTTAATGAGCGCGACTTTTGCCTTTAAGTGCGCTCAGAATTCTGAGGTGAATTGTAGGATCCATCGACTTTTCCTGATGTCAGGAGCATGTGCTGTTCTTCACCACACTCTGTACAGACTGAACTAGTAGATTTGTGTGGGAGGCCACTTCCAAAAGCAAATATCTCTTGGCAGCTCGCTGGCAAGAACTTCATGTAAATTTCAGCGTGTGCAGGATTCCGGAAAACTGAATGTTATTGTGATTTTTTATGAGGCTCTCCGTAGTTCATGGATTCATTTGAGCTTGAAAGTTTTTATCTTTATCTTCAAGACTGATTCGTCCATGAAGACCTTCTCATCAGTGAAATAGATCGGGAACACAGAACTGAGAGAAGCACTCCCGTCAGCGCCGCTTTCTCTCCACTCCAGTTGCGACCTGAGCTCGAGCTCGTCCACGCTCACGTGCCTCTGTCATTCGATGTCGTCTGGCGAATACCTGCCAGCAAGTGCGCTTGATTGCTAACACAGAATACAACAAAGAATTTAGTGGGTTGGAGTCTAGTGCAGCTTGGCCTGTCCTTTCTCCAATGTTGTACTTGGTAAGAACAGCAGCTTCTCTTCCACATTCATCCCATTCCTAGAAACTAGAACATGGAATTTTTTTAATGATGGTTGTTACAGGATTCCTGGAAATCCTGAGTCGCTTTGCAATGTAAGATCAGCAGACAGCTGGTCGAAACAATTCAGTGGTGATTTCACAAAGAGGCTTTTCTTAAAGTTTGAACAATTTAAAGTTAGTAATCATACATCATCTTCGACATAACGTCCAAAGAACAATTTATCATGCTTAACTTGATTAAGCACACAAAGAATTCAAGCTGTCAATCCTCTGTGTATGAGGCCTCATTTGAATTTCCGCGCCAATTTTGGTCACTAGTTTTTATGAGTTCTTAAAGTTTTTCCTCTACGGCTTTGTGAACTAAATTGGGAGGTGTAACTAGGTGTGTAAATTATAATCAAGCTGAGGACTCCACATCTCCTTCTTTTCTACACTATTTCTTTGTGTGTGTTCTTTGTGTGTAATCTGCTCCTGTTTGAATATTTCGTAGCTTCACCAGAATGACATCAAATTAGAAAGCTATCATTTATCAACAAATTCGCACAAAAATTCCAACGTTCTCAACATTTTCCCGACGAAGATTGGACAAAGAGTTCTCTCGATATATGATGCGTTGGAAAAAGGTCAACCTAAATTCACTTGTAGTTTTGTTCCACGGTTGTAAGCTCTTCCGTTGAGGAAGGTGTTCCTCCTTCGTTTTGCACGGTTCTTGCCAAGATCGCTTCACGCATTTTTTCTGCTGTACTTTTCTGATTCGCACCGAATTATCGAGATTTGAGGTCGCAGGGTTCACGAAAAGGCTCAGGCAGATGCGACCTCCTACTGTTACCCTCTTCAGTGCACGTTAGAGCGATAGGAATCCAAACAAAGTTGTTTACAAGTCATCCGAGAATGCTCAGTATTGATCTGCGAGAGAATAGCATTTCTATCGAGATCAAAGGAGGATTAAACGGCAAGGTCGGTGGTTCAAAAAGGAAAATTCCAGCGGACAGACAGGCGGGCCCTTTTAAGGGTGGGAGATTATTCGACTTCCGCAGGAAAAGGCAAGCCCCAGAGTCTTAGCAGGGCTTTATCTACGCCGTTTGCGCCACCGCACCCCATTGACTGACCCTAGCCGTCAGACTCTAGCTGCTCATGCGGAAAGATCCGTTGTGTTGGTGAGCCTCGTATGGAGGGAAGCTAACCAGACAGGTGTGTCCGGCTGCAGAGTGTAATGCACCACAACTCAGCTACCGTACAACACCGTAGTCGACGCCACTTTTTCAAAATTTTTGCGGGGAGCTTTGATGCATTCGCGTATTCAAATAGAATCATAGTTTTACTTTGCTAAAAATGTTCGCACGTTGATGTGCACCATCTCTCCATATACTCATAGGTTTACGCACACTAACTTCTCAGGTTTTCCTTTTGTTGCATCGAATCGATTCAGTGATTGTGTTAACCCATAACGGACGGCGTGCGCCACAAGGTGGCGCACGACTATTTCTTTTGTTTTTGGAATGTTTCTAGCAATCTTAATATACCCATATATACTCTCAGCAATGTGGAATAACATATCTTCCCAGGACCTGGACGGCTGGATTTTTGACAAACCTACAATAAATTTTACATACATTTTGTCTTAATTTACATAAGTTTACTATTTGATGGGTGGCTTACCCATGGTTCGCACGTCCCGAGACCCCTTCCCCTAAATATAGCCACATCCTTGCTCGGGGTTGTTGTTTCGCATTTTTCGATAATGTCACCTACAGCTTCCATTCATTCTTTGCACCCTAGTTTTAGAGCGGAAAGGCGGGCTTACGAACTTGTCGTCAACGGAAATCTCTTTTTTTTGGATGATGAGACTCCGACACCTACTTTAGCCCCGTCTTACCCCTGCTGTTCACATAAGCCTACATAAACCCTACCCTGGGTGGCGGCGTGCGCCACATGGTGGCGCACGCGAAAAATACACTGGCCGTCCGTTATGGGTTAAACATCCTTTCATTAAACTTCACAAAACCAGGTCATCTAAAAAGATTGTTTTCAGTTGGCCGTGTTGGCTGTTCAAAAATCCGCTTGATGGACTGGAGGAGGAGCCCGTGAATGACAATGAAGAGCTTCCACCTCCACAGCCACCACGATGTGATGCAGCCAACGATTTTTTCGTTGACGTCTGTCCTCATGGTCCCAGCAGCAGTGAAAAGATCGCCAACGACAAACGATCCGTAAGTTACCTCACTATTCAGATCTACACGTTTTCCTCGAAACTGTGGAAGCCACATTGTATGAATGCTTTACTAGAGGAAATCTTTCCCCCGCTTTGTGGCAGCGATTATTGTCCAACGTGAAAACAGGTATTTTATCAGCCAAAATCGACCGAGTTCACTAACAACCGATCTTTTATTATTCAGTGTCAATCTGGTTATGTTACAGCAGCGCACAAGAAATCAATGTGGACCTCAATTCCGATAATGCTACTATGGTTGATATTCACGATGCAGCCTCTGAGAGGGATAAGGTATGCTTGTATAATTTGCGATGTTTTATTTCGTTTCTCGTCCTCTTGGCCTCTCTTTTACACTGGGGTATTTTGGAGACACTTCATTAGGATTCCTCTTCCAGTCTTGAAGTAGTGAGTGGGCCAAATTAGTGGAAGGTGTTGTTGGGGTTGCTTTTTGTTTCTCAATGGATACCTTGGGGTATTCTTATGCTAGCAAATACAGCACTTGGGTGTAACAGAGAGTTTGCCAGGTTAATATCGTTCCTAAGCGGAGCATCAGTATTGCTTTTGCGTGCACAGTGAATTCCACTGGGAGAAAGCGAGAATGTTAGGGTGATAATCTCTGAAAGCACCACTAGCTCCATCGTTGATGGTCCGTACCACTTTTTACTGACAGATTATTGCAATGTGGAAAGTTCACACATGAACTGCTAATGAGCCATTGCTATTCTAGGTTTCCTTTCGTAATGATCCTGTACTACTACTCCATAGTCACTGGATAGCGATCGTTGGTGTTCTTTTTCCTAGACAGATTGCGCAACGTGTTCGAATTCAGCTAACCTTCCGTAAACGGAGTACATATATCGGTTCAACTTGAACAGCTTGATGGGGTTCTAGCCTTGCTTGTTTGGCATACCACTCTTATTTCTGCAAATCTCTTTTTGTATACCGATCTTATTTCTGCAAATCTCTTTTTGTCAAAAACTGTACCAGAACTTATGTTATGTTGTTCGTGAAAACCCACTCGCATCAGCTGTTTAATCGCGTCAGTACCGCCTTATTAGGTGTTACGGTTGAAATGTTAGAGTATGAAGAATTTCTTTGTGTTTCATTGTGCTGTGAACGTGTTTTCCCTAATATGTTGTTACTGTTCTGGTTGTTTCGCTGACTATTTAATGAATGTGTTAGCGATCGTCTTTTTCATGTGTGGAAGCCAATCATCCTTGCACCCCGATTCTGTCTCTTGCCAAAATGGTGAGCGAGATTCTTGTACAGATTTGAGCTAAATATGTAGGTGAGAGTCACGTCAGCTCCGGTGTGCTGGAAGTAAGAGTCTGTAGAGCAATTCATGAGACATATAATTTACAATATGCTTCTCGAGTATGTTTATATCCATTCGAGTGGGTCTAGCTCGCAGTGATTGCTTTAACGGTACTCTAGTGTCAGTGAAAAAAATAGTTGCGCGGGAGGGGATGGACCGAGAGCGACGGGTGATAAAACACCAGCATCACTGAAAACATCATACACGAAGAAGATAAATGGATGAATACCCTTAAGCACCAGGGTACAACCACAACAATGTAAGTTGGCACGGGATTCTTATTATCACAAGTTTGTCTCGTCAAAACGATTGTATGGGTGAGTTTTCAGAAAACAACTATCCGAATCAGTTCAAAAGCATGACATACAGCAAGTATTTAACACATCGCGCTTGAGCATTGTTCTACTAACTTTCTGGCATTTTTCAATGTTTCCACTCATTTTCAAGCTTGGAGCTGCTACGTGTCATCACTAACAAAAACATCGACTGATTGAGTGATGAGCTGGGAAGTTAGTGTGCGTAAACCTATGAGCATATGGAGAGATGGTGCACATCAATGTGCGAACATTTCTAGCAAAGTAAAACCATGATTCTATTTGAATACGCGAATGCATCAAAGCTCCCCGCAAAAATTTTGAAAAAGTGGCTTCGACTACGGTGTTGTACGGTAGCTGAGTTGTGCACTCTGCAGCCGGACACACCTGTCTGGTTAGCTTCCCTCGCTCTATTGCAGGTACAGAGTTTACGAACTTGACGAGTACGCTTCTGGCTTTACGTCAAAAAAGAAGAGAAGTGAGTAGATCTTACTTTTTTATGGAAAGTTCGCCTTCAAATGCACTACTGCAGTTTTTTTTTGTCTTCGCTTTTGCGCATTACAGGAATAAAATGAATTTCAGATAGGCCATATTTCTTATAGAAGCTTTTTCAAGATTATTTTGGTGTGGGTCAGAAAGCATAACTTAGTTCCAAAAAATACCTTTCTCCCACCAGAGCAAGCTTTTCGAAACAATCATGACTGTTAAAACCTTGGAAACTCGGAAATACTGCTCAAAAACCTGGGAAAATGCGAAGGTATGATTTTTCCGGAAGGTGAACTTTGAGGAGGATCAAGCTCTTGTTGGAAAGTTCACATCCTGTGCTTTCTTGTAGCACGAAAAGTTTCCAATGAAAGTGAAAAAGAAGAAGTCGTCAACGGAGTTTTCGAAACCCGTGTTTTCAAAAAATTGACGGCACCCCGCACCCGCCCCCTTAAAAAGGTGTAAGCGTGCGATTTTTTTGAAAAATGAACATTGGGAAGCGATTGGCGCGTTGAAAAGGGTAGATCCTGTACTTCTTGCCGTGCCAGAGTTTGCCAATCAAGAGCCCAAAAACTCGCATTTGCACGAAAACAGTGTGAGTGGGGAGATTCCAGACAAAGTGTACAATCACAAATCGTTTAATAGAAACATCTGATGATTCTGAATCTTTTTATAGCTATCCCAAAAGTCGAATATGAACAAAGTTCTGGCCTTTCAAAGACGGAGGTGCACATTCTCAGAAATTCGGGTTTTCCTCTTCGTAACAGATGCATTTTCTGACATATGAGGTATTCTCAGTAGTTTTCTAGAAGCGGACGTCATGAAAATTTCAAATCTAACTAACTAATTGGAATATGTACGATTTCAAGAATGTCATGTCTCCCTAACATATTTTTTCTTACCGCGTCCTCTCACCGATGGGGTGAAAGTTGGCACGCTCCAAGGGCAAACCCGTAACGTAACCTACCTCTCGTCAGGACCTTTGTTTTTCTTTACTTGTTCATGAAACATAACAATCGGTCGTTCCGGGAGGGGGTCGCAAAAAGTATAAAAGAAAAGTGCGGACGCGATCATTGACCCTGTTCGGAACTCCAATGTACCGAAACCTTGATTTGGCACTATTCCACTATTACTGCCCCAAAATCTCAAAATTTTATTTTTCGTCGAAACTTTGCCTATAGGGGTAATTCGATGCCCTGATTACGAATATGACATTCATTTTTGATGCTGGCGCCATTTGGCACGACGGCTGTTTTCACCAAATTCGGTGTAAACTTGTACATAGGGGTTATTTGGTGTCCTGATTACGAATATGACATTTATTTTTGACGCTACGCCATTTGGCGCCCATTTTCTGCTCGTCTGCGTCCCTCGCACTGGTTCAATCACCACAGTGCGGTGCAAAATCATAGGACACCCTCTTTCAAAACTTAAAAACACAGAGAAACGCCGAATCTTTATCCTTATTTTTATTCTTAAAGGGAAGCGCTTAGCAGAATAACACTATCTAACATGCGAAGTAAGAAGAAATGCTGCCGCAAATTTTTATACATATTTAAATCAAGGAGCGAAGAGCAGCAGTATTAGCTGAAGCAGCAGAGGCTGGGAGGAGCATCCGCAATGCCCGCCGAAGCTTTGCCAGCTACAAGACCAAGATGACCTGCCTCCGACGTCCGGATGGAACAGTTACTGCATCCCGAAGGGCAATGGAGAAAGTCATCCACGACTTCTACTCGGATCTCTTCGATAGCCATGTCCATCTGCCTACTTATCAACTGCAACAGGATGGATACGTCGTCCCCTCAGTTCTCTCTTCCGAAGTCCGACACGCCATCAAGTCGGTGAAGAATTGTACAGCACCGGTCTCGCCAGGGTTACATGCTTTTTCGCAATCATATCGGTGCCACGAATTGTAATCACGTCCCGCCCGTATCGACAGCGTTAAAACCGAACACTGAAAGAGACGCACGCCCTGTTTATCATCCAAAAAACTTCCTGGCTCGACTCTTCGAGCCCCCGCGCTATCAAAACTGTCAATGCAAGTGTAACGCGGCCCGCGGCCGGGGGCACGTTTTGGTGCCGTTTTCTTTGCCCCGGTTTATCTTTGTTGGGCCACTCCGTGGAAAAACCAGCAGGACCGTGTTGCTGTACAAGAAGGGAGACCTGGACGACATTGGCAACTATCGCCCAATCTGCCTGCTGTCTGTAATCTACAAGCTATTCACTCGAGTCATCCTTAACAGGATCGGCAGAATACTAGATGAAGGACAGCCATGCGAGCAAGCAGGGTTTCGAAGAGGGTTCAGCACCGTGTTACATACATTATACGAAGTTATACGATCTTGAATGAAATCTGCGACAACAAGCCCAATTTTGGCCCAGTCTTTCGTTTCATTTTCTCTTCCCTGGTTTCAGTTAGAACGTCCAGCGGGTGCGGCAGCAGCTTCGCAGGACCCTACGCTTGTTGCCCATATCAATGATTTTGCCAGGACCCTACGCTTGTTGCCCATATCAATGATTTTGCTATGTCATTCTGGTTTTATTCTTTTTCTCTTCCAGTGCTGGCACAGGCTTAGTGTGCATGGTTATCTTGTTCAATGTAGCCTTCGAGCTTATATACAATTCCTTTTGGGGAGGTTCTGCTGTTTGTCGTGCGTCTCTATTCCATCATCGTGATGAGAATTTGGAGTACCGGGGGCGTACGGTTTTTCCTTTGAATGCTGAATAGTGGCTTTTGATGTTCGTGGTAAGCATCAGGCGCTGTTTAAAGACAAGCAACGTATGCGATTTTCACTAGCGAAGATGAACCAGCAAGTCCGCAAACCGTTACTTTAGTAGAGTCGCTATACTAGCCAAATGACGTGCTACCATATCGTTGCTGTTTGAAAAAACGTCAGAACAAAAAATATCAACAGTAAAGACAACCTTGAGGGAGTCCCATGATTTTGCACCGTTATCATGGTGAGGACTACAACCATAAATATAACCGCCCGTGTAAATTTACTGCTGCTTCTCCCTCCCTCCATGACTGTCCACCATATCCGATTTACTCTCTTCCGAACCCGACACGCCATCAAGTCGGTGAAGAATTGTACAGCGCCCGGTCTCGACAGGGTCAAACCGGAACATCTGAAGAACGCACCGCCAGTTATCATCAAAACTCTGGCTCGACTCTTCACGCGCTACCTGTCGGAATGCAAGGTACCCACTCCGTGGAAAACCAGCAGGACCGTGTTGCTGTACAAGAAGGGAGACTTGGACGACATTGGCAACTATCGCCCAATCTGCCTGCTGTCTGTAATCTACAAGCTATTCACTCGAGTCATCCTTAACAGGATCGGCAGAATACTAGATGAAGGACAGCCATGCGAGCAAGCAGGGTTCCGAAGAGGGTTCAGCACTGTGACAAAAGAAAGGAACAAACTACTCATAATTGAATGGAAATCTGCGCAACAAAGCCCAATTTTGGCCCAATCTTTCGTTTCATTTTCTCTTCCCTGGTTTCAGTTAGAACGTCCAGCAGGTGCGGCAGCAGGTTCGCAGGACCCTACGCTTGTTGCCCATATCAATGATTTTGCCAGGACCCTACGCTTGTTGCCCATATCAATGATTTTGCTATGTCATTCTGGTTTTATTCTTTTTCTTTCCCCAGTGCTGGCACAGG